CATATCCTTAGGACCCCTCAAGTGCTTAAGGATTGCCCTTACGAGTTATGACATCCCAAAGTTTTGGCGTCCTAGGTTCACCAAGAACCGACTCGATCACCAACCCAATGAAAAAGTAGATATCGGATTTTATACATAGCATACATTGAGATATCCCACAACCTGCTTGTGAGATTTTGTAATCTTATTTGAGTTGACCAAATTTTTTTTATATATAACTGAGATCAAAGAATCCAACAAACTATATAACATCGACTCATATTTCGGTTAACCGTAAACATCAAAACGTGATATCAACGATCCGAGCTGTTTATTAGTTTGCATCTGCTAAAAGATTATGTTTTCAAAAAAAGAAATCTGATGAGAAGAATAGAGAATAAATGACAATCGATGGTTAAATATAAATCTAGGGTTTATGGAGTATGGTGTCAGATTTCGGATTTGATCCATTTGCAAAAGTTGTAAAGCTTGTCATTACAAGTGATTACATATATATATATATATATATATTACGTTTTTCATACTTCTAAAATAAATATTATGAATTTTTAATAATTTTTCACTCAAACAAAAACACTATTCATGAGGGTTTGGAGGGTTTTAAAATCTAAATGACGATGTAAGTATCGTCTAAGTGTGAAGGATGCAAGTGTTTATATCTTTTTCACACTTGTACATTAATTATTATTTATTTTGAACTCCCCTACAATACTATTCACAAGAATTTGTAGGGTTTTAAAAATTCAAACGACGAAGTACCCATCGACAAAGCATAGAGGATGCAATCACGAGCTTTTGCATATTATTTTACACTCTTCACACTTATAAATGAATTATTATGAATTTTTTTTTGTGTTTTGGTATTTTAAAAGTGTTTTAGTATTTTTAATATGCTGTAGAATTTTTTAATCTCATTTATGTGAGGATGAAGCATTTATGAGTATAAGAGAGCGTAAAAAACTTTTTAAATTAACTCTAAAATTGACAGTCTCCTAACTAGTGAAGAGGAACTATTGAAGAAGAACAAAAATGTATAACCTAGCTAGTCAATGATCTTTTATGACAACTATATGCCCTCATAAATAAATATCCATTTTTGAGAGCCATTGATTGCCCTTGAAAATAGATCGTTGTTTTTATGGCCTCTAATTCCTATCGCAAATACACAATCATTTCCGGCAACAACTAATTATCCTTGAAAATAGAGAAATTACTACCGACGACCACTTGTTGTCCTTGGAAATAAACAATTTCTGATAATTTAAACACGCCCTTGTAAAAAATATTACTATTACCAATGAATACAAATTTCGATGTAAATAAATGTGGCGCCAAAATTTCCCTCCAACAATAGCTATTTTCGATCTTGTCGAGAAGCTCGCTTGAGGCCATGGATGGAACGTTGAACTTGCATAATTTATGCTCCTCAACTTTAGGAATAAATCCTTTGGTTGTTCCATGTATAGTTCTTCCTCAAGATAGTTGTTTAAGAAGGTAGTTTTCACTTCCATCTGCTAAATCTCATAGTCATAGTGAGCGGCTATTGTAAGCAAAATTAGAATACTTTTCATCATGGAAACAGGTGGAAAAGTCTCATCAAAATTCGATGCCTTCTCATTTGTCTATACCCCTTAAATATAAGTCTAGCTTTGTATATGTTTCGACTCGCCTTTGAATTCTGTTTTCTTTTATAGATCCATTTGTTACCTATGTGAACTATACCCTTAGGAGGATCAACCAAGGTCCAATTTGGTTAGAAAACATTGAATCATTTTTGGGTTTCATGGTGACTTGCCATTTACTCGAATCAATGTCAAACATCGCCTCCTCGTAAGTCCTAGGATCATCAATTATTTGATCATTATATATGCTCATGAAAAAGAACCAAACGATCTATTATAATTATCATTCTAGTTGACTTACGAGTAGATGACGTCAAACGATCTATTATAATTATCTTTCGTTTATGTATGTCAAATGGCGCAAGAAGATGAGGAAGTGCCAACTCCAGATTAACAAACTAAGACATATTTTTCCTCTACATGCTAATCAGATGAATTCTTATCCATGTTTAGCAATACAAAAGTAGCCCAATTATTTCTAAATACATGTAAGGTTTTTTCTATATTGGATGCGGGATTCATTTTCACACAAATCAGATGACGTAGTTAGGCTTCACACATGGGACAACATGGCTCAGATACCATGAAGATATTGAAGTTTCACCATAAAACCAATTGACATTATGAGAGAAGTAGCTCAATTATTTATAAACGCATACAATGTCTCTTCTTTTTGTACGTGAGATTCATACTCTCAACACGTTTTGATTACAAATTTGTAAAGTATGCAAATATCCGTATACAAATGTATGTATGCGTGTATATTCATGCAAATATCCATATGTACTAATTTGGTGGATGAGCTTTGGATGCGTTTATTGCTCAGTAACTTGGCTTCGCATGGCGTGTGGCCCATGCAAAGCAGCTTATATAACACGTCCAACTAGTCTCACGTAGGAGTGGTGTCCAAGTTACTTCCAAACTAAGATGCTGCAAGTTGATATTTGCTTCATCGTGTCAACTTCATCTTATCGGGTTTACCATTTCCGTACCTGTAGGGGTTTTTACAGTGAAATTATATAAGTATACTGCACGAACCGTTGACCCACTACATGCACCTAGACCAAGCGATTATATATAAATTATGTAATTCAAATTCAAAAATCTATTTTTTTTTTATCGAAATAAACGAAATTCAAGGCCACCCTCACATGTTCAGAGAATCTGAGATGGTCAGGTGAATTATTTAAGCTGCCCAAAGCAAGAACAATAACTAGCCTTCCTGAGAAAAGTAGCCGTTTAAATTATTGTTTTTGTTGTCTAGGGCACTTGAAGGAGACTCTAAGGAAATACTTATAGTACTTGGATATAACGAAAGACGTGACACAGAATAAAGCACAATGACGTTCTAAGATTCATATAGCCGACTTCACTCAATGAGAAAATGTTTTTTTGTTGTTGTTGTTTTTGTCTTGGGCAAATACCAGTGTTTCCATAACATGCTCAACTTAAGAAAGTAGTCGTTTATATCGACCCAACGATGTACTTCGCAGGATTAAGTAATTATGCTTTATGTTAGGCATGGATTTAATTTCGTTTTCATTGTTTGTCTAGTGTAGAGGAAAAACAAGTAAGATTCAAACTTTGCTATTAACGTGAGAGTACGTAAAATGCTTTGATCAAAATAAATAAAATAAATTATTTAGACAATATTTTGGTGTACTATATAATATAATAAGATGTCAACTCGAAATTATTCATCCTTATATCTGTCCTCTTTCTGTAGTTTCTTAAAAAGGGTACGGAATTTGTTTTTCTGTCACTAATCTTATTATACCAACCAAATTACTGGATCAAACATGATTCACATGTCCTTAATGGCATGGGAAATATTCAAATATGTAGTTATTATTGGGAGAGAATTAGAAAAACCAGACTTTCGAATTTGAATATGCGGGTGGCTTTGTCCTGCTTGCCAGGAATACCCCATGGCCACTGTTGCTGACTTTCTGATCAATTTAGGTTGACTTTTGTCAATGTAAATCCTTTGCAAGAGACATATGTAAATATGAGTAATAGTAATATGAGATTATCTAGTAATTATATTATACCATAACATTTGTGGCTGTTAAATCTTTAACTGTTGCACTTGGGTTGCACATTCAACGATGCATTCATCTAGCTGGATATGTGCATGTCATATACCACAACACCCCAATCAAAGTCTGGAAATTAATTGAACTAATGACGATCATGTTCTTATACGAACTTATTCCGTATGTAATTTACTAGTTAATCTCTTGGGCACATATGTATATACTCTTGAATAAGTAGATTTGAATGATATACAATTCTCTATCTTAAACTGTTTCATCTTATAGAAAATAAACACACTAACTCAATTAACCAACTGACGTAATACAGAATTGCCACTAACTTGTTACATTACCAAAATTGATAAGGAGAGAGCTTTATTTGGAGGGGACTAGCGAGGCTTGTCCTGGCAATTAATGATCAAATTAAGCATGCTGTCACCTTGAGGAACATGTATCTATCTCCTTGTTGGTCTTATTATTCTGATGACCAATGATTAGGGATTAATATTTTCGCAGCAAAAAGGTAAAAACTTGCTTTGTTTTCCTAAATAAAATACTTAGAAAGCAAATTAACGTCTATTGTACAGCAATGTGTTGGTATGATATGATGAGGTCTGCTACCCCTTTATCTCTTCTGCCAAGAATCAAACCAAAATGCATCATTATTTATGGGCCACTTTTTTATCGTTTTTCTCATTGTTAAAACAGCAATTAGCACAAAGAAAGCTCGTTTAATAATTAATTAGGTCAAGGAATTTGACATTTGTTGCACTATAATCCCGTTAGAAAAAGTGACAAACTCCCAGTCCCAGCACATCACAATCAAATCCCCAAATACCACACTTTCTAACTTTTAACCGTTGCTCAATAAGTTGATAAAATTATATTTCTAAAAGAATGTAAAATTCTTTTCTCAAACAATTTACTAATTGAATTTAATGTCTAAAATCATATATCGAAGAATAATCCACCTAACAGATCACGCAACGATTTACCTTTATTATTTTTAGACTTGTATTTGGAGAAGCTAAACCTTACAGATTATGTTTTAATCCAGGTGATATTAATGAAAGAAATTGACTTCAAGTACAAAGAAAAAGAAAAGACTGAACTAGAAACATACCTAACTTGATAGTTGATACTCTAGCAGATCTTGGTCAGTTTAATAAATTGGTAAATTTAGAAGGTTAGTCATTATAAAACAAATTTCAATGAAAATTATTTAGTAAATTTAGTAACCGTGATCAGGGAAAGACTGAAATATTTCTATGAGTCTTTGCGGTCTTCGAAATGAATGGATAACCGTGATTTGTCACAAATTATCTTTTAAATAAAAAAAGAAAAAGAACAAAGGAAAAAAATTAGTAAATTTAGTAACGACTAGGCTTAGTTAAATAGTAACCTAGAAAATGAAAAAAAAATTAAAATAAACCAAGACCAAAATCTGAATGGGGTCCACTATAGAGCGGCTATAAATACACAATCTTGCTTTTCACAGCCCAAAGTGTTTCATCTTCTCTCCCACCAAAAGGCGCTCCCACTCGGCACCTCCTCCCCTCCACTCCCCTCCCCTCCCACACACTTCCTACATTTGTTCACTTCACACAGACCATTTCACAACACACGCCACCTGCATTCCATATCTCATCCGATTCCCCGCCCACTTCCGATTCACAATGGTCGACGTCGATCGGAGAATGACCGGCCTCAACCCGGGTCACGTAGCCGGCCTTCGCCGCCTCTCCGCCCGAGCCGCCGCCGGCCCACCAACCCCAACAACCGCCGCAAAATCCACTCTTCCCGTACGGAACGGCCTTCTTTCCTTCTCCTCTTTAGCTGACAACGTCATATCCCACCTCAAAAGCTCCGGTTTCCAGGTCCAGCCGGGTCTATCCGAATCCGAGTTCGCCCGGGCTGAAGCGGAGTTCGGCTTCGTATTCCCTCCAGACCTCAGAGCCATTCTCTCAGCCGGGTTGCCCGTCGGCCCCGGTTTTCCCGACTGGAGAGCCGCCGGTGCCCGCCTCGGTCTCAAGGCCTCGCTCGACCTCCCGATCGCTGCGATTTCGTTCCAAATCGCAAGGAACACCCTCTGGTCCAAATCCTGGGGTCTGAGACCGGCCGACCCGGAAAAGGCCTTGCGGGTCGCGAGAACTGCTTTGAAGAGAGCCCCGCTGCTGATACCAATTTTCAACCATTGCTACATTCCGTGCAACCCCTGTTTGGCGGGGAACCCCATCTTCTACGTCGACGAGAATCGGATCTTCTGTTGCGGCTTGGATCTATCCGATTTCTTCGAGCGCGAGTCTCTGTTTCGGAAATCGGAGACCGACCCGTATATCCTTAAGAAGCAAAGATCCGTGAGCGAGAAATCGGCCGGGTCGTCTTCGAATTTCTCACGGCGGAGCCTGGACACTGGTTTCGGTTCCGGAACCAAAACCCCTAGATGGGTCGAGTTCTGGAGCGATGCCGCCGTGGATCGTCGCCGGAGGAACTCAAACTCTTCGTCGTCGTCGTGCTCTTCTCCGGAAAGGTTCTTCGATATGCCGTCGAGGTCCGAAATCCCGAAATGGGTGGACGAGTACATTGATCAAATCGGGTCGGCTTTGAGACATGGCGGGTGGAGCGATACGGATATATCGGAGATGGTTTCGGTATCCGCGTCTGGGTTTTTCGAGGGAGAGATGGTTATGTTGGACAACCAAGCGGTACTCGACGCGCTGCTGCTCAAAGCGGATCGGTTCTCGGACTCGCTCCGAAAAGCCGGGTGGAGCTCCGAGGAAGTTTCGGAGGCTTTGGGCTTCAATTTTCGACCCGAGAAGGAGAGGAAACCGGCTAAGAAGCTGTCTCGGGAGCTCGTGGAAAAGATAGGGAAACTGGCCGAGTCGGTTTCCCGGTAATATTTTCATTTTACTATTCTTATTTTTCTCTGGGAAAATTGAAAGGGTCATGGGGCCTCGGGTTTCTGGATTTGGGTTTCCCCATCGGGTTAAAAAAAAATCAAATACATAGGGGGACGCGTTTGTACTATGAAACAGAGCCTATAAGTAAGAAAACAAGATGAAAGAGTTGCAATTACAAGGAAATAATATAGACATAAATAATTGATAATCCTATGTTTTTAGACCAAATTATGGTTTCTGTAATTATGTTGTTGCCCTAATTATGTGGATACAGCTCATACTTACTGATACTGGTGGGTTTTATTTAGTTGTACAAAAACCAAAATAATATTTACGTATCTTTATTATTATTCATGTCTTTTGGTTTAGACGGCTTCTCTTTCGTCATTAGTTACTTTTCTGTACTTGTAAGTGATAGTTTTAAGGTCAATCTTTATGGGCTAGTGGTTTTCATTATTCGCTAATCCATTGTATAACTTAGCGGAATTCTGCACACCCAATAATCAATATCAATTATGGAATTAAGGAATGGGGTTATGGTTTGCAGCGGGTAGAGCGCACGTGTGCTATCTTTTTAAAATTTGGAATTTTGAGCGCTGGAATCAAAGAGTTGGCGATGGTGCGATGCGCTGCGCTGTTTCTGTGAACGCGTGGGACACTGTGAGATGATTCGTGTTATATATTCCAGGGGGCAGTGGGTAAACGACACCGTTCTCATGGGGCCTGAACAGGAAAGGGCTTTTTCCTGGATGGGAACGATTTTCCGGGAAAATTTTGGTGAAAGTGAAGTAGGGTTTGTGATGGTGAAAACACTGGGACTGCGGCGGAGTCTGGGAGTGTGGGAAGAATGGCAGGTGTGAAGTGAAAGGAGGAAAATGTCTGGGGGAAAATTTGCTTCTTTTGAGATGGCGATAGGATGGGGATATTATTAATGGTCGTTTTCCTTGAAATTTGGGGAAAAAAAGAGCGGAAAAATATTGGGTTTATAGAAAAGAAAAAGATTCTGATAAAAAAGAAAAAAGAAAAAAAAAAGGAAAGAGTGAATGAAGCCTGACAAAGAAAACCTTGCGTGTGTTAAGCTTTTAGGAGACACAACACAAGTACTTGGTCAAGGTGTGTGAATTTTGGTTCCAAAAAGAGGATTTTGTTCATGTATTATTCGAACTTTGTTTTCTTCAATCAATCGATAAGATATTTACAATTACGTAATTTGTTCAGCAATTTTTGGCCTTGCGCGTTTCATTCAACAGGAGCTGTTGGATGGACTGATTTAGCTCTTGTTAAGAGAATTTGATCAATTGAGGTTGAAATGATTTCGAATGCATTTTGGACGCTATTACTAACTACTAAGAGAACACAATTCTTTAATACAAACATTAATTGATAATATTCAAAAGATTGTTTGTCGACTTTTGAACATCTCACTTTTAAATAGAGATGCAAACTTTTTAACAGATGTTCGATTGTATAGAACATTAATTCTCTTCAAGTCACTAGAACCTAACTAAATCAATAAGAAGTGTAATTCCTTTATCAATAGAATATGTGAGATCATCCAAAAAGAACTTTTGAAGGATTAAACATTTGGACCAAAATTTATGTAATTTTTTGAAGTGGACGGGCATGGCTGATAACTTGATATTTACCAAGATGGGGGGCCACGTGATGTGGGGTTCTATTTGAGAGATGGATTAATTTGGGGCTTGTTTGGAAAATAGTTTTAACTGACTGAAACGTTTTTATAGATAATGTTTTTGGACTTCAGAAGTAATTTAAGTGCTTTTTTTTTTTTTTTTTTTTTTTTTTTTTTTTTAGAATTAACTTACATTTTTATTAAGAATTTATTTTAAAAATATTTTTTCTAAAAACTTTTTAAATCATTTGAATGCTCTTCTCAAGAAAGCTCTTGCACTTTTCACACTTAAGAGGTGTGAGACTAGAGAAGTGGAGCTTTCACACATTTTTTTCCTCACAAATTTGTTTCAAACTCTTGAAGTTGATTTATCAACTTCTTGGAGGGAGGGGATGTGGTGTTGTGGGTTGTTTGGATATTCGATTTTTAAGTGTTTTGTTGTTATGTATCGAAGCATGGTATGCATTAGGTTTTTAAACTGTCAATTTTTTCGAACTCTTTGACCAAATAAAAAAAAAAAAAAAACTTTTGACCCTTTATAAGGTAGTGTTTACCATACACCAGAGCATAATAATTTTTTTTTATTTGTTCTGGAGCATGGTGTTTGGTTTGTCAACATTTTGATCTGGTACACATTTGGGAAACATCTAATTTGTGTCCATGTGGTGGAGCGTGGTACGAAAGTACGGATATAGGACTTGTTTTGAAACATTTATTTTTATTCAAACTTGAAATTAGTGTTTGGTGAACTTACAAATTAGTGCTCAGCAAACGTCCAATAATTTGCATTATTCATAATGCATTATGCATGTTCGTATAATTCATATACGGCTTTTTGGCTTTTCGCTTTCTAAATAAGTCGGTTTCTCCAAGTCTCCATCCGGCTAGTTGACAAGAACTTGTTACCAAAAGCACTTAAATGCATTATAAAATTCCCTCTTACTTGAGAACAATTTATATAAAACAAGTTTATCACGTGCTGTATTTATCTAATAATATAATCTTATGTGTTGACAACTTTACACATATCATTCTTTTATTTAAAACGAAACGCCTAATAACAACAAACTCGTTTTACATAAATCCTTCTCCTCTCATACACTCGCTTTAATAGCATAACAAATTTGTTAACTGACTCAGTAGCCTTCCATTATTACTTCAATATTAAAAGACAATAATACTTCATGCACTGGCGGATCCATTAAGGGGCAAGTGGGGTTAGCTAACCTCTCAAATTCCGGTGAATCTTTATAAATGACTTGGGTGTTGCTTTTTTGAAGGTTGGAGTTGTCATTTATACATGTCCTCTAATTGCTTGATGAAATGCCTTAAAGAGGAGTTGACCTTCTTATTATTTTTTTTTATAAGAAAATATCAACTTGGGCATTATATTCTTGATATGCATTCAAGTAGTGAATTTTCTCAATTTAAAGAAATTGGTAGTCTTGCAAAAAAAAGGTGAAAACAGGGAGGAACATAGCATATAATCATGTATATTTGCTAATTACATTGACTTTGGTTCTACTGGTTGCTATTGCTTCAATGGAGGGAGCACTTTGCTATGAATATTATGAAAAATCCATTGCGTAACCAAATGAGAGATCATTGTTTTTTTTTCCATTGACAATACAACTACAATGCAGCGTTTTCAAAATATGAAAATGCATCGTGAAAAATTGTAACTTATATTGTTATTCGTTCTATAAATTATAAATGATGGAACTATGATTTATTTTTATGGTTATTAGTATATGTCTAAAAAATGTTTATAAACTTTTACACGAGACCGTCCAAATAACTATTTTTGGATCCGCCACCACTGACTTAATGGCAAATTATGAGGTAAAGACTAGGTTGACCCACAACACCTTTTCAAACAAGTGTTAGCTTTTCAATCTTGCATTGATGAAAAGGATAAAGGCTTCAAAAATCCTTGACTGCTTAAAATCATGTAATTTGCGATTAATAAATAGAGTATTCGTCAACAAAAAACCATGCAGGGAGTAAAATTGCACATGTGGGATCTAACTGATATAATATATGTTATACTTGTACTTCGATCAAATCAAATCAACAACGCTAAAACTGAACAACGGAAGCACACCTTCCTTTTGATATAAAGAAATACAAGAAAACACACACAAGATAGTTTCTTGTCTCATAAGTCTCTCACACACTATATCCACACTTTGTACCCTAACGTTAAGGAACCTTTTATACTAACTCAAAAAACCTAATCCTAAACTGAGTTGGAATTCTAAACCTATCTGAAAACTTGCGTCCAAGTTTCCCATACCTATTACAATTAGAACTTCCACACCAGTTAGGGATCCTTCTCGGATTCTATACCAATTTCTAACAAACTCCACCTTGGTAAGAACTCCGCCTCGAGACTTCTTATGCTTCCATCGCTCCACCATTTTCAAGTATCAAACCTGTCTTACATGCACCAAATCCAGACAATGGCTGAATTTTGATGCACCCACCACCTTTGTTAACATATCTGCAGGATTATCAGCTGAAGCGATTTTTGTTACGAGAATCTCGCCTTCAGCTATAATTTCTCGAACAAAATGATATCTTACATCTATATGTTTGGTTCTTGCATGATGCACTTGATACTTCGCCAAGTAAATAGCACTTTGACTATCACAATGCACATCTATCTTGCGCTGCTTAACTCCCAAATCTGCTATTAATCCCAGTGTCCAAATGGCTTCCTTAATTGCTTCTGCCATTGCCATATATTCTGCTTCTGTAGTTGATAAAGCAACCGTCGGTTGTAGAATTGATCTCCAACATATAGGGCCATTTGCCATGGTAAACACATATCCTGTGGTAGATCTTCGTTTGTCTAAGTCACTAGCAAAATCAGAATCTACATATCCAATAGAAAACTTCTCGATTCCTTTATCATTCCGCTCAAAGCAAATTCCCGTGCTCCTTGTTCCATGCAAGTATCGCAGTATCCATCGAGCAGCTTCCCAATGCATTTTTCCAGGGTTATGCATAAATCTGCTTACTAATCCAACTGCGTGAGCAATATCAGGTCGAGTACACACCATGGCATACATCAACCCTCCAACCAAACTAGAATAAGGAACGTCCTTCATCTTAGTCCTTTCTTCATCAGTTTTAGGGCATAACTGCGTGCTCATCTTGAAGTGAGATGCCAGAGGTGTACTTACGGGTTTGGTTTCATCACGTATGCCAAACTTGTGTAGCAATTTCTCCACATACTGTTTCTGTGATAAACACACCAGCCCTTTCTTTCTATCCCGTGTGATTTCCATCCCCAAAATTTTCTTTGCTTCGCCAAGGTCTTTCATCTCAAACTCATTTTGCATCTGAGTTTTGAGTTCTGAGATTTCTGTTTGATCACTAGAGGCAATGAGCATATCATCTACATAAATCAGTAAATATACATATATACCTTTTCTCGTTTTCTTGTGATATACACAGTGATCGTATTGGCTCCTAGTGTAGCCAAAGTCCTTCATAAACTTGTCGAACCTTAAGTACCATTGCCTCGGAGATTGCTTCAAACCATATAGAGATTTGTTGAGCTTGCATACTAGATTCTCCTTTCCTTTCTCTTCGTATCCTTCTGGTTGACATATGTAAATTTCTTCAGCCAAATTTCCATGCAGAAACGCAGTTTTTACGTCCAATTGTACTAATTCGAGATCAAACTGTGCCACCAGTGCTAGGAGGATT